ACCGCCAATCTCTACAGATACTGCAACTAAAAGTTTGTTCGATTATGTTTTGTTACTTATGCTATGGGTTTGTTTTGCATAAAAATTAAGTGGTAACAGATTTTCTTTGTTTAAATGTGAGTTCAACTTATCATTATTGCATGTGACTGCGTTTGTCTGTTAGCTGAACTCTAGAACTTTACAGAGCCTTTGCATTTCGTTAATTGAATTGCCCATCGTTTCTATAGTAATACACAAAACACTTGTTGAAGTTTAACTGATTGAAGAATTAAAGGATAGATGTTGCCCATAAGTTCCTTCAATTAAAGGATAGATGTTGCCATCTCGATACATTTAGAGTTAACTAGCTTGTCATTAAATATGAATTTGTAAAATACATGGATGTTTTGGGAGCGCGCTGATTCAGCCGAGATGTTATTGGTAATTTATTTTCCAGTTCATTGTGGCATATGCTTTACCCTTATATATGATTTACAGGATAAGAGATAGGAACAAGCCGATTGGTAAATGGAGTTATGATCGTTCTGGTTTTGGGATGCCAACCCACATGTACGCTTATGACTTAAGACGGCGTGCTTTTGACAGTTGGTTCTTCCGAAATTCATATGTGAGTTGTCATAGTTCACGTGTCTATTTGTTTTCTTGAACCTATGTAATTGTTTTGCTGCTGTCTCCTTACGGCTTAACAATATGTTTTCCTTTCAGCTGATTCACTTTTGTTATGCGTGAATGCGTAAACGCGTCAACAATGCTTTGAGCGGGAAGGGTTATGTTTTTGGGAGGAGATGCCCAATGTGTCAACAACGCTTTGTAGCCAGACTATTGTGATGCTAAAGCGGTTCCTCCTTTTTGTTCTTCGTCAAAGACTGCAGCCGCCCTGCCTCCGTTTACGTTCTTGTTTCTTTATATTTCTTTTCTTTAGGCATTTTTCGGTGCAAAAACCAAATCCAAGAGGGAGTTGTTTAAATTTGTACAGCCTATATGCACACGCTCATGTGCATGCTAAAGTACCTTTTTTTTTTTTAATGACTGGATGTTACGCTCAAGTTACAAATTTTTACTGCATTAATAACTCAATTACTCTGTTTGAAACCAAGTCCATATACCTAATGTTTTAGGTCAGTCAAATTTTATATCATCTCATGAGATCAAATAAACTAGCTAAACACACTAGTTTAGCTAGCCGGACAATGTCCAAATTCCGCCACCACGGTTAGTGGTGGTGACACGGGGAGCGCTGAGTTCGGCCGGAGAGGTTCAAATTCCGAATCCTAGTGCCTTCTGTAGGCCTCATGTTTGGACAGGTTTTGGTAGCATTGCTCGACTCGCTACTTTCACAAAACATATTACAACTCGAGAAAGAATAAGCAGTAGTGACGCAAATAGACGGGCCAAATAAGGTTTCGTTGCTTTAACTTTTTGCTCGGAGAAATTCTTTGGGCAATTTTACTCAGATAAACGCAATCACTCAAATATTTTGTTTGATAAAATTTTAGCATTCGTCATGCAAATATGGTCTATTCAACGAAAATATTTCGTCTAGTAAAGTGCATTGACTAACTTGGCCCAATGAAACAAACTTTCTTGACACCGTTATTTCATTGGGTTTCTGGAAATAAAATATTTAAAAATATTTTGCCGACAAAAGTGTCATTAGGCAATTAGTTTAAAAAATTAAAATAAACAACACAAAATACCTGCTTTTGTCGGCCACAAGTTTTTATTCTTTTTAAATTCGTAATTTATTACATTTAATTTAAATAAATTTAATTATATTCATTCCAAAAGAAATCGTAATATTTAAAACATATATTTAATTATTAAAACTAAAATATTTGTACAAATGTATGCAAATAATCCTAAACTAACTACTCCTAGGGTTGTTGGTGGGACGACGACTGAAGGTGGCTTGGAGGATCAGGAAGGCGAGTGCCAAAGGCTGCCATTGCATGGGCCTTGCCAGCAATGTAACACCGAAACTCCTCCTCTCGTTGGTGCGATGCTTCTTTCCAAGATTCTTTTTCTCGTTAGTAAGGCTAATAACTCCATCTCCAAATGTTGCAGTCTGAAAGACGTCCCTCTTGGAGTCTGAGAGCTCGACGTAGAAGATGCCCTAAGGTCCCAAACCCGACCCCCTCCTAAGCATGTATCTCTTTGCCTTTCTGTCCTACCCGTCCATCAGCAAATGTAGAGATACCTCTGAAATAAGTGTCAACTCTTCCCATCAACGTGTTCGGTTGCTGGTGAAAGAGGTTAGCAAGGACTGAACTTCATTCGTGAAAAATCCAAACTGATACCTTACCATTTTCTTTATGTGGTTATCTGTACTCTATAATTTTATAAACTAATAGAAACCTATTTAAAGACGATAAAATCCCAATGAATATAATTTGGATATTTTCCTACATAATTGATGACGAGTTAATTTTAGCTATTTTTATCAATTTCCGTGCTTCAGTAAGATCTTCCAAATATGCAAACGATCACCTAACACATGGTGGGCACCATCTACTCCTACCTAATTGATGAAAGCTCAAACGCTTTTGGCTAAGAGTAATGTTAGGGAGACCAAATTTTTAAACCAAATAATGTGAACGTTGATGATTGAATTACGTACTTATTTTTTATTGATGACACATCATTTGATTTACAAATTTGGGTTAAAAATTTAGCCTCCCTCACATTATCATTTAGCTAATATACGAAATTAGAAACCAAACTAGCAATAGCACTAAAAATGCAACACCCTTTGCACAAAACGAGTCCATGTTTATAACTTTATAGATCAATAATCAAACTTAATTATTTGTTCTCATCCGATCGAATAAGCTAGCTAGAGAGTGTGACAGAGCAATGTTCCCTGCAACATTTTACCCCGCCACCACGGAGAGCGGTCGCTTCGGACAGGCGATGGCGAGCCTCGGTGCTGCCCTAGTCGCGGCACTTGTTGGGTTAGTGCTGCTGGTTTTAACCTGGGCCTGTCAGAAATTTGTGTCCATCTCAAGCAGCAGTAGTGATGCAAGAGAAAGAGTAGGAGCAGACTCTGCAGAGCCAAGTGTTGTTGTCGTAATGCCTGGAGAGGAAACACCAACATGCTTGGCAAAACCCCTCCCTAATTCCTCTCACTAATCTAAAAAAATGCTGTGAAATTACTTGCAGAATTTTCTTTTCCTTTTACTTTTTTGCTGGTTTTCTCATGATGATGTTAGTATTACTTCGTCGAGTTGCAACTCGTAATGAATGAAAAAATATATTGATAATTTACCCTAAAGACTCTTGCTTCCTTCCTGTTATTCAAATCCATTTTTTGTGTTCATTTTCTTTTGCATGATATAGACATTAAACCCAGATACATGAATAGTATTGATGATCTCGCATACAATAGTACAATGTATGAAAGAAATCTTTGTTGTCGATGCCCTCGCAAATTCTTTGTTCGATGCAAACGCGTGTCCAAGTGTAAGTTTATGGTATTTGAACAATGTGCATCTAGCGGCATGAATCAAACATTGGACCTCATTTCATGAAACTGAATTGATCATTGAACTTTCAACCCAGTTAGAACTTAGAATTGGTTATTGAAATAAAAATTCATTAATTATGGTCCTTAAATTTTACAAAATATAGAGCATTGGTCCCTTCCATTAATTTCTGTTAAACTTTCTGTCAACTTGCTTACATAACACGCATATAACTAGATTCTATAAAAACAAATTCTAAAATTTACACTTTTAGAGTAAAATGTAGGCCGATGAACTTCACCATAGTGTAGGTTAGATTCCTAAACTTTCACTCTTATTTAGATTCCTATCCCTAAACTATCACTATAGTTAGATTTAGTCTCCAAACCTTGGTTGGTTGGTTCTCTTGATTTCGGTACCATAGAGAGAGGCTACCATGGGGTGGGGTGGGTGTTGTTGAGAACTAGGGCCTCATTGGTTAATGCAACAAGATTTCGCACCGCCTAGTCAATTTTGTTCTTCTTAATCTCTGTTTTATAGTCACATATCTTTTTGGCTAATAAATGGGAAACCTTTCTCTTGTTATCCCGGATATATTCTTCTTGTTTCATCAACTAATCTTAGTCTTGAAAGAACAAATACTGACTATTTATACTGAAATGAACAATTATCTTGATTCACGAGTCCCTGAAGTGCATGATAAATACTGCCAAGGCCCAATACTGCGTAGAAAATAAAGTGAAGCACTCCAAACACAAAGTATGGAAATGTATTTAGAACTTCCCCTCTGCCCAGTACCAAAGCCACTGGAACTCCATTTTTTAAACTTGGCTAGGCTTGACCATATCAAGTTTTTGGTTCAAAAATTGAAGAATCGGTCTACACGGTTAAGTTCCATTTCGGTTCAAGTTTGATCGATTTTGGTGCACTAGATTTTTCATTTTATTACTTGGCATGGTCATGTTTGGACTAGGGATCGATGGGCAAGATTATGGAGGGCGGGTAACCGTTTAAGCTCTTAGTTGCATAATTGTTTACACGTTGGGTAATTACACAAATAGGTATATTCATACTCATAACCGTTTGCAAACGGTTACCCTATCCATAAACGGTTAACCCTACCTATTGTAAACCAGTCGAAGGTTCTCAAGAACACAGAAAACAGAAATACAGTGAGAGAGATGAAGAAGATGAGAGGGAGATTTAGAGAAAGAAAGGTTATATTTCATATCTGAATATATTTGTTAGTTATAACTGTTGACACCAACAGTATATATCAGCAAGCATAGCTTACTCACTAAGCTACAATCTTTAACAAACTAACTGCACTCTTAATCTCTGGCCACATGTTTCTTTTGTAGCCATTGGATCTTAATACCTCTAACATCCCCCCACAAGCTCAGGAGCAGTGAAGCTGAGCCTGAGATTGGCACAATGTGTCTGAAAAAGTGGTGCAGATAGCCCTTTTGTAAGAATATCAGCATATTGGTCATGCGAAGACACAAAATGGACTTGTAGCTATTGTTTAGCAACCCTTTCTCAAACAAAGTGCACATCAATCTCAATGTGCTTAGTTCTTTGATGCTGAACTGGATTACACGTAAGAGCTATAGCAGATAAATTGTCACAAAGCAGAACAGGTTGTACAGACAGTGGAACGTGAAGAAACAGCAACAGTTGTTTGATCCAATCAAGTTCAGCTGCAATTGTAGATAAAGCCCGATACTCAGCTTCCGTGGATGACCAAGAGATTGTGTTTTGCTTCTTAGACGACCATGAAATTGGATTAGAACCCAGAAAAACAACCAATCCAGTAGTAGACCTTCGATCATTAGGATCCCCGGCCCAGTCTGCACCACTATAGGCAGTAATCTCTAATGAACCTTTGATATAGTGAAGACCACAACCTTGTGTAGCCTTTAAGTAGCGGAGGATGTGCTTAACAGCCAAAAAATGGGACTCCATTGGACACTGCATAAACTGACAAACCTGATGCACTGCAAAGGATATATCAGGTCGAGTAAATGTCAAATACTGGAGAGCACCAACTAAGCTTCTGTATAAAGCAGGATTATTATAGGGCTTGCCATCATCTTTGAGTAAACGATTATATGGCAAACATGGTGTAGCACAGGGTTTGGAGAGCAACATTTCAGATTTAAGTAACAAATCTGTGACATATTTATCTTGAGATAAGAAAACACCATCCTCTTTCTGCACAATTTGGATGCCCAGAAAATAGTGAAGAGGCCCCAAGTCTTTGATATCAAATTCATGAGTTAAAGATTGAATAACTGCATTAATAGCTTGTGTTGCACTCCCTGTGATGATGATATCATCCACATATAGCAGTAAAATCACCACAGAGGTACCCACAGTCTTGACAAACAATGAGGAATCTGCATATGTGGAGAGGAACCCCAAGGATGGTAGAAAGCTAGTGAATCTTTCATTCCATGCCATTGGGGCCTGTTTTAAGCCATATAAAGATTTGTGTAATCTACACACATAAGCCTCATGTTTTGAATCCTGAAAGCCAGGTGGTTGAGTCATGTAGACTTCCTCTTGTAAGATGCCATGAAGAAAGGCATTCTTCACATCTAGTTGCCTCAAGGACCACCCAAAATGTGCAGACAGAGCTATAACCAATCTCACAGTGGTAGGTTTCACAACTGGACTAAAAGTCTCCCCATAGTCAATACCTTATTCTTGATTGAACCCTTTAGCAACAAGTCTAGCCTTATATCTCCCAATAGATCCATCAGCATTCCTTTTGATCTTGAAGACCCATTTGCAGCCTACTAAGTTCTTGTGCTGTGGGAGAGGTACCAGAGACCATGTACCTTGTTTATGCAAAGCTGAAATCTCATCTTGCATAGCTGCATACCACACTGATGACTTTAAGGCAGATTTATATGTGGCAGGCTCTACTTGACTCAAATCAACTCCCCCATGTTCATGAACAGCAGCTAAAAGTGCAATTTTCTTTGAAATACCACTCTTTGATCTTGTTTGCATAGGATGAAGATTGAGGGGTGGTATAGGTAAAACCACTTGAAGATGTTCAGGTTGGAATTCAGGTACCACAGGGAGTGTAGGGGATAAGGACTGTGTAACTGGTGAACCACTGGACTGATTAGAACTGGAGGATCCTGAGGGGGAACTTGAAACTGCACCTGCTATGGCATTGAGCTCAACAGAGGATTGGTTGACATGAAGAGGGGGCATAGGACTCAGTGGAGCATCAGAACCTAGATGTGGAGACCCAAAAGATAGACTAGGAGTAGAAGAACTCGGAGTAGTTGGTAAAACAAGAACATTATTGTTATCCGGGATTGGAATCTGGGGTGATATGAATGATGGTAATGGTGCAGAACAAATAGAGTGGCTTTGAAGAACCAAAGACTTGTAAGGAAACTCAGTTTCATCAAAAATCACATGTCTTGACACATAAACTTTCTTTCTAGACACAGCATAGCACAAATATCCTTTATATTTGGATGTATATCCCAAAAAGACACATTTGGTTGTTCGAGGTTCAAGTTTGGTGCTAGTGTATGGTCTTAACCAAGGATAACAGGAACATCCAAAAACCTTCAGGTGGTGGATCACAGGTAAAGCATTATGCAGCAATTCAAATGGGGACTTATGTCCTAATGCTGGAGATGACATTCTGTTAATTAGGTAAACTGAGGTTTGACAAGCAAAAGACCAAAACAAAGATGGTAATGAGGCAGTTTGTAACAAGGTAATAGATGTTTCAATGATGTGTCTGTGTTTTCTCTCTGCTGTGCCGTTTTGCTCAGGTGTATGAGGACATGACAGCTGGTGACTAATTCCTTTATCAAGAAGAAACTTTTGAAAGACCTTACTTATATATTCCCCACCACCATCACTGTGAAGAACTTTTATGGATGTATGAAACTGAGTTAAAATAAAATTGGAGAATGAGACAAATGTGGCAAAAACATCACTTTTATTGCAAATTGGAAAAATCCAAAAATACTTGGTACATTGATCAATAAAAGTCACATAGTATTTGAATCCCTCTAAAGAAACACACGGAGTAGGGCCCCACACATCACTATGGACAATATCAAATGGTTTGACAGATTGAGAGATCGAAGGATAGAATGCTAGTTTACTAAATTTACCCTCTAAACATGTTTGACACAGGGAAGGAGTGCTATCTGCAATACAAGATATATTGGACTTCTTTAAGATTTGAGAAACTATGGGATTGGAAGGATGACCTAATCTTTGATGCCAAAGACGGATTGTCACTTGTTTGCCAAGAAGAGCTACATGTTGGTCTGTTGTATGGCCTGGAAGAGATCCTGGTGAGATGATAGGGTACAATCCATTGTTACACAGTCCTTTGTAAAGAATCCTCCCTGTGGCTTTGTCCTGAATCCAAAATGAAAAAGCATAAAAAATTAACCAGCAATTATTGTCCAAATAGATTCGATGCACAGACAGTAAATTGTGAGACAATTTTGGAACATAAAGAATAGAATTGAGCTTGACAGGATGCATTGGAGTTGGTAAAAGAGAGGAACCAATGTGGGAGATAGGTAAACCTTCACCATTAGCAGTCTGGATTACTTCATTGGCCGGGTATGGGGTGGCCAATGAGAGATTACTCAACTCAGAGGTCATATGGTTATTAACACCGGAATCAATGAGCCAAACTTGCTGCTGCATTGGTGCAGAAGGCACTGAAGAAGAAGATAATGAACCAGTGCGAGTAGCAGCATGCATTGCATTCAGTTGTGTAGAAGAAGCCTTCTGAAAACAAGTTTCAGCACTATGATAAGGGTTTCCACAAATCTGACATGCTGGAGAATCCACAGTATTCCTATACCTGCAGGTATCAGCAAGGTGATTTTGCTTCCCACAGATTTGACACCCTTGAGAAGTATTTGTATTCCTGAACCGGCAAGTAGAAGCCAAATGATTAGTCTTTCCACAAATCTGACAAGGTTGAGCCTGAAAACCATAGGTTTAAACCCTTGGTGGAGATGAACCAAGAATGCCAGGAGCAGAGCTTGAATGAAAAGTCTTGTTAGAGCCAAACTTTGGATTAAAGTTCGAATGATACCGATTTCGACCCTTATTATGGCTGGTGAAGGACTTATAAGCAGTGGAATGAGGATTGTTAGGAGTAGGACCAGGACTGAAAGCAGATTGGTGTTTGGAAAAGAAATTATTGTTCTGTGCCACAAGTGCAGTTAACCCAGGTAATGCAGATACACTTTCAAGTAAAGCTTCTTCCGCAAGTAATTGAGAACGAAGATCTTTCAAAGATATAACAGTTTCACAACCCCTAATTACAGACCTAATGGTATTATATTCAGCAGGCAACCCATTAAGTGTAAGAATCACAACATCATCATCTTCAAACATCACACCGGCAGCAGTTAATAAATCCCTTGCTTCTTTAATCTTCTGCAGATATAATGTGATAGAATCATTCCCTTTCTTTATAGTCTGAAGCTCAGACTTGAGTTGAAAGATACTTGCTTTTGTAACTGTAGAAAACTGTTCTTTAAGTCTGAACCATAAATCTTTAGAGCTGGTACTGCCAATAGCACAGGAAATGGCAGCAGGAGATAAAGTGGCAGTAATCAACTGCATCAATGCTTTGTCATGCATTTTCCAAATCTTGTACTCATCTGTTATTGTTCGAATAGAAGAATCAGCACAGAGGACTGCAGAATCCGCAAATGATTCTTGAGCAAATTGCACAGGACACGGTGTTGATCCATCCACAAACCCAATAATATTATGACCTTCAATAAGCAATTGCATTTGAAAATGCCAAGCCAAGTAATTCGTATCATCCAATTTCACATGAACTGAATTTGAAACGGACGAAATCAATGAAGTAATCGGGGACTGGAGAATCTGTAACTGAGCAGCTGTGACCATTGTTGCCGAAATCAAAGAAATCTTGAAGTAATTTGACTGAGGAATTATCACAAACACTTGGTGTGCACACTGTGGAGATCGCAGAACAGGTAGAACGGGTATAGAAGAAGAACCCCAAATTTATCAGACAAAAACATAATTTCACAGAAGAATATTGAGATGAAGCGGAAGCAGATCACGATCGAAGAACCGTCAAGCTGTTATGCTTGTTCCGGCGATGATACCATGTAAACCAGTCGAAGGTTCTCAAGAACACAGAAAACAGAAATACAGTGAGAGAGATGAAGAAGATGAGAGGGAGATTTAGAGAAAGAAAGGTTATATTTCATATCTGAATATATTCGTTAGTTACAACTGTTTACACCAACAGTATATATCAGCAAGCATAGCTTGCTCACTAAGCTACAATCTTTAACAAACTAACTGCACTCTTAATCTCTGGCCACATGTTTCTTTTGTAGCCATTGGATCTTAATACCTTTAACACCTATAACCGTGTACCCATATAACTATAATTGCATTAGGGAGACTAATTAAATTTATAGACAAAATTTTGAAAACTAAAGGACATTGAAGTTAATGATTGGTTTATTACTTAAATGTTGATAAACATATTCATTCATATTTGGTGACACATCTATTAGTTTACAAATTTTATTTACAAATTTAGTCTCTCTAGAATTACCTTCTTTTTTTTTGTTTTTAACATGTTGAAAATTAAAAAAAAAATTGTCATATTTTTCTTTTTCTAATAATTGAACGTCATTATATGTACATTTAACATGCATTTCTCTATTCCAATATTTTAAGTCCTCATACTATTTTCAAAATTTAAATAAGGGAAATTTTATTTAAACCCATATAACCTCTTTCTACACCCAACTTAAAATTTAAATGTTAATTGTCTATTTTACCATATTACATAATTACTATTAAGTACCAAATAAAATTAATAATAAAACTCAAATTTATCAATAAACCCACACACTATGATTAAACCTTAGCATCATTCTTTGTTTATCATACATTCATTCCGGCTAAAACCCTAATAGCTCTGATAGAGTAAAACAAACATTTTTTTTTATTGATAGATGGTGATTTTGAAGTTTTAAATCATTCAATTAAGGTATGACTCGATTTATGGATATTTTATTCGTTTGATTTAACTTTTTTTTAGAGTTTAGAAGATGAGTGTTTGGGTTTCAATATTTTTCCATCAATCCCGCATAGTACCCTTTGTTAAACTTGCTGCAACAACAAATTGTTGCAGACACTCTCCCGGTGTCTGTCTACACCAAAACCCCCTCCAATACGATTTCTACTGCTGCTGTTGGTACAGGTATGGTTGCTGATGTCCTGTGTTCACATGCCCTCCAATACGATTTACATTCACCCGTGCATGCATATAATGCATACAACACGAGCCCAATACGATTTAATTAGCGGCTAGCTCAGATCAATGCTTGAAGACACTAATGGGTGTAAAGATAAATTTGAATATTGAATTAAGCTTGTAAGGGTATTTTAGGTTG